TAATATTTCACCACCACAGGTAACCTATTAGGAGGAACTGTGACGTAGATAGCAAACAGAGAGACAATAGCAAATTTCACTGGAAACGGCACCTGTAGTGATTGCTCACCAAGAAAATGCTGCACGCAGGAATAACCTATATAGTACGACAGTCAGGTTACGCACAGCTGTGTCTTCTCTCTCTGCAGCACTGCCTTATCCCTGTCACACCCAAAAACTTATGCAACATTTCCACCCAGAGCCAATGCTGTAATCATGAGGCGACCCTCACGAGATTTTTTGCTTTCAGTACTCCACCGCCAGCATTTCGTATGGGTAGTGGCGGGAAAACTAATATTCCACATTCCCTGCACGCACGGTAACGTAAACTAGCTACTAGTAAACTAGTCTATAACCAGCTAAACAATCGAGTAAATCTATTAGGTAATCTTGGCAAGGGTTTAAGATAGAAATGAATACTGGCTGGTTTGACTTTGAAAGGTCGCTTGGGTTACAGCCATAGAAATAGATAGATAACCTATCTATCTATCTATTGGTTATCTATCTATTGGTTATCTATCTATTTCTATGGTTACAGCAATACGGATCGTTCTGTACAGCAAAATGAACAAACCGATAGCACAAACACTAGCCATATTTGACTATCTCTACCCCCTAACTATCACATGTGAATTTCGACCCACACCTGAAGTTTGACAACGTCGAACAGAAAACAATAACAATAGCTGGAAAATAAAGTTAATCTGAGTTAGATCCATAATCAAGTTATAAAAACGTACACTGACGAAATTTTCGTCTATCTTACCGATAGACTTCCTCAGGTCCTATATATACACCTGAAGAAGTCTATCGGTGAGATACACGAAATTTCGTCAGTGTAAGTTTTTATAACTTTATTATGGATCTAACTCAGATTAACTTTATTTTCCTGTGAACTATAGAGATCCAATGAATTTTTTCAATCAATAACAAGAGCTTTAGTGACAAATTAACACATCAATTAAGTTTGCTGCCACTACGTTCCTTTTCAAAGCTGCGTAAAATTAGAAGAAGTTTCAGTGCACTGCAAAAGCAACAAGCCGTACGAAATCAGTAACAACCATACGTACAACCGTACCGTACCAACTGTACATACCAAAAAACACACAAGAGAAAACAAATCTACAGCTGCATCTAGATACACCACGACAATGCGTATTGTGATATGACACGTCGTACGAACACCAAACGCTCCGCAAATTAAACGTATTCGTCCAACGTAGACAAACTCACAGCAAGCACGGCATCATCTCACTGCAAGAGAGTTTTGCAAGCTTAACCAAGGCTTGAAACCCAGGCACGGACACTCCCGTGATCCGTCACACACCCGTTAGCGGACAGCGTCGTTGGTTACCGACGAGGATGACACACACTCAGAATCATGCATTCACATCCTGGGAAGTGACGCAAGGTGCAGGCTCTAACACCCGGCAATGAAAACTCTGAAGCTGAAAACTATCCTCGGCGTTAGAAAATCCGTTTTCTTCGACTCGCCAAGCGGGAACGACCCAGTTGTCCTTGGACGGATGTCGAGGTAGTGCAGAGGGAGAGCCCTCTATTGTGCGAGCGTGTCGGCGCGAAACAAGTGAGCAGTCGACGCGAAACAAGTGAACAGTCGACGCGAAGCAAGTGAGCAGTCGATGCGAGACAAGTGAGCAATCGACGCGAAACAAGTGAGCAGTAGCGGTGTCTAAGAAGGCATATCTACGCTCACGCAAAGTGCATATAGCATCTGCTGCCAGCCTGCCAGCCATTACGCACTGCACTACCGATCCACACACGCGTGCGTGCGTGCACTCACCTCCATGTCCTCCTCCTCATCCACCACCTCTGCCTACCCGGGCAAAACGAAAAATACAAAAACAAAACCACAGCGCCGACGGTCAGGCGATATGCAAATAATCGTGCAGGGGGACAGTCTTTTCGACACTCTTCACGCACGGAAATCGCAACCGCAAACCAGGTTTGGCGTATTGAACTTTGCTTTCTGTATGCGAACTTTGGAATATCCGGACTGTCTCTGTGTGTATGGCACACACACACAGCAACGTTAAACACGTACTGCCAATACACACACGCACATATGCACATATGCACACATGCACATATGCACACACGCATACATGCGCACACGCATACATGCGCACACGCACACCCACACGCAGCCGCACACGCCCACACACCACACTCACACGCACATCGCACAACGCCACACCACTAACGCACACACGCACACGCACACCACACGCACAACACACGCACACCACCCACACCACACACACACATGCACATGTCGCGTCACACACACACACGCACGACATTTGCACCCGCACATATGCCATACACACGCACCACACAAACACATGCCACGCACCACGCCACGCTCACCCACAAACACATACACCTAGTTTGTCAATCGGCGGTTGTAATTCATAACATCATCATCGCCTGACCCAAGTAACCGATTGATCGCTTACAACGTTACTCGGCGTGGTTGAATGCCTGCTGCGCGAACAGTCGTGTCAAGTATCTTCTGTTTAACCCTGCTTACTTGTTTGTTTGCACTGTTTTACTACTCGTGTGTAAATACACTGTACGAATGTCATCACTTCCAAGTTTTCTTGTTCAAATATTCTTTTTTTCGACTAAATCGATATGGATTGATAACCAACCTGTTCACCCTGTAAACCGATATCGAGTATCAATCGAAAGACGTCGGACATCCAACTAATACCACGCACGACAACACGACACGCGGATGCCACTGAACATATACTGCCCTGTACCCTCAACACCAAACGAACGAACCTGTAGTAAAATCGGTTTAACCCACACTAATGTGACGCTTCCATGTTCTCACCACCCCCCCCCCCTCCCCACCTCTAAGAAGACCAAACTTGTGAATCAGCTCTACAAAGCGAAAAAAAATTGCAATTTTCCGTGCTACTCTTTTCAATTTCGGCCGGCTTACCCTTCTCCTTGCCACTTGAATAAACACCTTGTTTATCACAAAGTTTCTGATCGTACGTGACTGCGCGACATCGGCTGGTACGTGCCTGCTGGCTGGCAGCACCTGATGAAGTCAGGGGGGGGGCGAGTGCACCTGATGTTTCAGCGCCGGTGCTGCATGTTCCTTATTACCTCCCGCCAGGCCTGCGAGTCATTTTTCACCGTGTGTATGTGGATTGGGTTGTGTACAGCCGCTGATTGGCCTGATGCCCCCACTGCCGGCCGCGCGGCCGTGGGGCGCCCGGAAATGCCTTACAACAGGTTAAGCCAACTGACAAAACTTTATGACACCGGATGTCATAAAAATTCAGGAACCTACTCAAATGGGGCTAACTTAGAATTGATAGATTTTGGCTGGCATCCGATACACCAATTAAATACAATTCACTTCATCATAAATTCTTTTTTTTTTTAAGTTTTCAATTCCCAATTTCCAGATAGGTCAGCAAACGGGGTAACTTAGAAATTACTTTTGTGTGGAGCCGGATCCAATGAATTAACTAAATAATAATTAATAAAATTCCAGGATACGGTCAGAAATGCGGAACTAGAATGATAATTTGGTGGACTCGGATCCAATTAATTCTTAATTATGAATTAATTATTTTTGCACTAATTAATCAATTAATATAATAAAAAACTTAACATGAGAGCAATCACTGCCTGGCGAGTCTTGGCTCTCTGAGTCCTCTATTACAATGCAGAGGGCAACCCGCGTATGACAGAGCGACAGTCAAAAACACTTCCTGAATCCCGAAATTGCATAATTGCGGCGGAGCGATACACTAGCCAGCATTGCGGGTTTGCAGCCCAGCTTGTCGTAACCAGTGCAACCGCATTCGACTTCGAGGCGTGCCGCTCGGGCGATCTCGAACCCGTTATCGTTAAACTGTCGCCAGCCCGTAATCACACTTTCGAAGCTGTTTTGCGGAATCGTCCGGGGGGCTCGATTTCCCCCGCTGCCCCTGCGCTAATTTCCACTCTCTACACACGCAAGTGCGAACAAATCGCGAGCCCTATTGCATTCGTTCGTCAGGTCGACACAGGCCGATGCAAGATTCGAACTGCGAATCCCAAATAAACCATGACACCACAACACTACACGCAACGAAATCCCTCTGAAGCTGATGGATCGTAATTAGGGATGCAATCCAACAGAGGGGAGATTCCACCCGCTTTCAGTAATACGGCCCAGCACTCCTCCGAAAAGTGGAAAGCAACGATTATATTTGCTACACTCCACACACCTCAGCTCTACAGAAAATTACCAAAGCAAAAACTAAAATCCGAAAACAATCTTCGTTTCAGAATAAAAGCTACAAAGTCCCCCCAAACCATCCTCGTCTGACATTCCACACAACGCTGTCACTTCCTTAATGTGAAATCCGGGGCCTCGTTCGTCCAGAAACATCGTAAAGTAAATGCTAAGTTAATGCTAATCAACACACTTACGACTAAATGATATGCTAACGAGAGTAAGCCCGTGACAAAACACATCGTAGCTACACAAACCACGATAACAATAACTTCATAACCTTCATTCAAGCTTTGATTGGAGAGAATCGGATCACAAAATTCAAATCGTGAACACATTATGTACATCCACATAATTTAATGCAATTAGATGCTCAACCACATATAAATAAATATTCTGATGAAAAACAGACGTGGTCATAATTTATTCTGCACAACACAACAAACTTCTCAACACGGTAACGCGAGATGCGAGAGTCGTGCAAACCGCAGCGTCGCACAGCATTTAAAACAAGAGAACAAATGACCATACCCATTTGTGAAATGAGTTTTGGTTTACGAACGAGTCCTAAGAATAATTAATGTTTTTTTTCGCACGTGTTTTTCAAGAAAAACACATTATACTCATTATATAAAAAAATTCAGTATAACCTCCGAGATTCCGTAGGGGTAAAGGGTTATTTCACTAACCCATAAGGTTGGCTCTCCGTAATTAAAGAGATATTTTCGAGATTTCATTCTCGAAACTTTGGCGATGTTCGTCAACGGTTACAGTGGAAAGTTAATGTAGAGCGAATGTTAAGAGCGTCAGTTGTTTCTTGCCCACAACGGGCCCCCCGAAGTGGCCGGGCGTCGAGGGAATGACGTGAACATGATATCGCGTACCTCGCTCGCGCAACTCGTCGCAGGAACATGCGAGAATTTGAAGGCGCTCGTCCTCCAACCAACAATGCGGCCAGCACCTATGAGCACGCTCTTCAGCTTGGCCGGTATCCGCCTCTCCCGAACGGCGAAACAAACAGAACTGCAGTCTGCTCACCGGCAACCAACTGTCCTTAGCCTGAACCATATTCGATTATATCAACCACTGTTCATCGCGGATGAACCCCCTTCCCGGACCACGCTGTCCCGTCTCGACCAACTGTCCCCTCGACCCACTGCCGCCGCCGGAGCCCAACTGTCCGCCGTCGACCCACTGTCATTATCGGATCCCCTGTCGCGCGTCGACCACCCCTGTTCATCTATCGTCGGACCACTGTCCGTCGTCGGACCACTGTTCATTATCGGACCACTGTCCGTCGTCGGACCACTGTTCATTATCGGACCACTGTCCGTCGTCGGACCACTGTCCGTCGGTGCGACCGCACTGTTCATATCGGACCACTTGTCCCGATCGTCGACCCACTGTTCATTATCGACAACGGCCGTCGTCGGAACCAATACTGTCATTATCCGGACCACTGCCGTCCGCGGACCACTGTTCATATCGACCACTGCCGCGTCCGTTGAGCGAAGCGGAAACCTGTTCATTCGACCACTGTCCGTCGGACCACTGTTCATTATCGGACCACTGTCCGTCGTCATACCACTGTTCATCGTCAGACCACAGTCCCATCGTCGACAAATTGGAAAGTGGATTAAATACATCTAGATGCAAAACACAGTTTCTACCACATCCAGCACGATAAGTTTTCACGGTATCAGTATCTCGGTCATGCTTCAGTATTTACTTTGTGGACAGTGACCCGTTAACTTCTGGTCAACAACGGATTGCGACGCACAAACAACGATCCAAAAGTGCCAATACCGTCTTCAACCTCTCGTCTAACCTGTCGATCCAAAATGTTTTTTTCTGTGACCTTTCCCTTTCCCCAATTTAGGCTTTACGTGGAAAACTGTTTTCCCAGAGATTTTGAAGTAGAAAAAGAATTCCTGACTCGACCCTTTTGAGTGGGTAAGCAGTGCGATGCGGTTGAACGTAAAAACTGCACAGGCGAAACCACAAGAACTTACTCACCTTGAGCATTGTGAGGATTTTTTGCTGAGTCATACTCAAAGTTGCTGTATTTGGATCCTGTCATGTCATAGATGAACACCATGGGCGCGGGCCCATTCCGCGGTCTCCGCACTGAAACACAACCAACAAGTGAACGCAACGAAACGGGGGGAACAAAAAAAACAAGAAGAGTCCAACACCGTAAAAACGAATTGAATCATCAAGCGAAATAGAAACCCCCGCCCAGTCTCCGCTGCCGGACCTCAAGATCGACTACAATACGAACAAAGTGCCGCGGAGCGACAGCGCTCATCTAACTCTACGCGGTGAACTCTGGTGCTGGTGGACTTCTAGAAACCCTGTTTGTTCCTAACTCTGTCTCACATACAACGCCGAAACAGTGGAAAGCACAGGATGTATCAGAACCTCCTCAAAAGAATGTTTTGGTATTCGACTATAAAAGCTTCCTTACGCACATGGCGCGTACGGTTTAAGTCCTAAGATTAAAATGAGCTCCCATCCGTACGTAGTAAGCAGAACAACTATTTGCCAAGAACAGAATAGGCTAAGCAATCATCCATTACCTACCAAGCCTACCATGCGAAATAAAGAGCTGCCACCTTGTAAACTTCAATTAACGCAGGCAAAAACTACATAGTACTACACCAACATCGCACGCCATGCCACTGCAGTGGCATCAACGTACATGTACCCACACACTGACAGTACAGAATGCCATCACGAAAATACATTACAGGAGCAAAACGCTCTCAACACAATTTTGCTTTTTAATCAACTTACATTGTAGCCTCATACATCCAGGCATGTATAGATTCTACTAGCAAACCCGGCAGTCAAATTCTTTCTATTCTAACAGTAAACAAATCCATGTTTAACCCTCCTCTTGAGGGTCAAAAGGTTATCCGACACTTACTCTTCGCACGTAAGCAGAAAGTACATTTCATAGTCCTTTCAATAAAGCCATAAAAATGCTAGGTCACCGCTGAAACAAAACAGTTTTTTAATCGCTCCGTCAGACCATGTCCTCAGAAAATGTCTAAAATCTGCCCTGTGCCCCATTGACCTTTGAACTGTGACCTCCAATTTCGACACAGTGATGGCTTTTCCTACCATGATGCTATACACCGACTATCACGAGCCTAAGTCGAGCCGTTTATATTTGGGCCACAATTCTGCATTTCCTACGTCAGATGAGCTAAAAACGAAAATTCTAAAATAAATCCGACGAATGACTCTGAACTCGTCCGCCGGAAAAGTACTCTTTACTTTCGCTTGTTACTAAAAAAAAATTTTCCCTTGTATCTAAAAAAGTAGCAAGATGTTTTCTACTCCCCACTAAACCGTGTAACTACCTTTCTAAGGCAACATCCAACTGGTACACGACACACTGTAGCACTGTTCTGTGGCTGATACTCAGTGGTTGATGTAGCACGGCCGAGAACACGGCAATAGCTGCTCCGTTTGAGTCTCTGCTTGGCTGCAACACAGAACATTGAGCTTGCAATTATAACAAAACTTGAGGCAACCATTAAAACAGTCACCGTTGGCATTAATTATCCTAAAATTCTAGGGTGGGTTGGACGATATCAGAAGTAGATAATAGGGAAGGAGTGTAACTTCAATAAACAAGGGAAATTCGTCATTTACTAGCCTTGGACATCGGACATCAGAGATTGGACATCGACGCAACACTCGGCAAGCTAATCTTTGACCTTTTACAGCTGTATGCCCCCCACGCACGCACGCCCACCGCAATCAGCAGCAGCTCCAGCTCCAATCTCCCAGCGAGCCACACCGCATCGCCGAGGGCACAAGAGTGCGCAAGAGTCGTTAGTAGCTGCCTTTTGTTTCAAGTTAGGCGAGCTATACATTCGGTTTGCTGGCAACAGAATAGATAATCGTGTCGTACGTTTTAGTCTGTATCTCCAGATTGCGGGTGTATACGAGGAAACGATTTCGCACGATGCTTGGCGAATGTACTGTATAGGATTTGAGCTCAAGTTGGTTGAGTTACGCGTAGTAAATCGTAGGTATTCTAAGGCTAGTAAATGACGAATTTCCCTTGTTTATTGAAGTCACACTCCTTCCCTATTATCTACTTCTGACGATATGCAAAAATGACATTTTACATTGTCGATTCACACGTGGGCTATCCTCTGACCAACCACAATACCACTTTAACTAGTAATTTTTTTGTCGAAGCTAATATAAAATAAAATTAGATTTAGGTTAATTTGTCGACTCGGTCAAGATATGACAAGCAGGAAATATTTAAATGGTGGTCTTAAACATACAAGAAACACTCACAATCAATGCTGACAGCTAGGAATCTAGAGTCTGATTCCTCTGGACCTACAAGCATTAAACCTCTGTGCAAAACAAGATTCTATTAATAAATCTCACCAAAATAGAAAATTTTCCAGAAAACAGCTCTTTTTTCAGTGGCTCCACGTGAGGGTCAATATTTAGAAGACCTTCCTGTGATCGGATATTCTGTGAACAAAGAAAAAAACTAATTTTTTATACAGCACTACAAAAAACGGGGAAGGTACTGTACCGACCAAGTTTTCATTTGAATTTTTCACCGTGTGTATGATCACAGATTCACGCTAAGTTAGCGTAAAACAAGTAGTACTTATAGAATCATCTTTGTGGCAGGCTTTCACCAGTCACGTATCTACATTCTACATACACGTCACACGTGTATACTATATCACCAAACACACACGCAGTGTAGCTAGATGTACACCATTCAGCACAATTCACCCACCGCAGTCATGCACTGCCCCCTTACTAAACAGAGAGGTGTAAACACTCTTGATCTTGCAAGAAAACTTTCTCGGCATCCAATAGATCGGGTAATTGACTCAATCGCAATCGCACACGGCCGAAAATCGCCCCCATGCTGCACATCAGCGACGGGAAAAGAAAACAGACGCGCAGAGAAGGTTGTACTCAAACATCTGGGATTGGCGCTGTTGCTGGAAATAGTTGGTAAATTCTTGTTTTGTGACATGCAAGAGCAACTCCATCGTTGGTGTAAATTTTAGGGTTGGTCGGGTACCCGGAAACACACCTATAATTTTCTCGGGCCTTATTGCGCGTGGGTGTGCTACAGGACATGCACATGTGCACATACGTTACTATCAGTTTCCGAAAACACACTACTATATTCCGTGTAACGAACACCAACCAGGAAACGGCAACTACTGCTTAGGCAAACAATGATAATAGTAAATACTTACAAATTTGTGTCAATGCACAGTGATATGTGAGCAGTAAGGTTAGAATTTAATTTTTTTATGGAATCATGGGGGAAAAGTTGCCTTCAGTTTACTAAGAAACTTTAAAGCATTATGCCAAGTTTTAATACAACAGCACAAAGGCAAACGTTTCCTATAAAGAAGGGTTACGAAGGCCAGTTACTTTTTTAACAGCATTCTTTATGTGGAACAAAGAGGCACACATACACAACTGGAATTCTACAGGGAGAGCATGTAGGCAAACCAAACATGGTGGCCACTGGCAACGGGGGTTTATTGCCATGGATGTCATCAAATTTCTGTGGGTACCACGCCAAGTCAGCCCGTGTATGTGTGAATGTCTGCATTTGTGTATATATATGTCTGCACACATATACACACGTGTGCCTGTGTTACTGAATGCACGTATATATATACATCCATTCAAATGGGAGTGCGCGTACATGCACACAGGCATCCGGGTGTGCGTGCGTATCTACGCGTGTAATTGCACCAATAAATTTCTTTATAGTGCTATCACCAACAACTGTAACACTAACAGTGGTAATTCTACATTAATGTTAGGAAACGTGTGGTTCATAATGAAAAAAAGTGTCAAGTGCTGCAGATTGCAGAACCAATCACACCCAAACTTGTCTTGTGGTGAACATAGAAACTTTCAGACCAATGCACCTAAACCATGGAATCATTTGTCACTTATCTAATCTAGGACATTTCATTTGCAGATAGAGGCTATATATAGACTATTAGTATATATACGGACTATTAGCTATATATACAGATGGCAAGCTAAGTATCAGGGTTCTCCCCAGGATAAAATTCAAACAGGGGGGAGGGGAGGGGTAGGGGGGAGGGGGGAAACTAGGGGGGTCCGGGGGGCGTGTATTTTTACCGTACGACTAATTAATGCGTAAAATCGCCACCACACCATAGACGGTATTTGGGGTTCTTGTATATATAAGATAGCCGAGTCGGTGTACAGTTAGTGACAGGTTAACTTGTGTACTGTCTGCAGTGCATGCGTGGTACGGTAAAAATACACGCGTCGGATGTCCTGGTCGAACGGCAATTCTTGACGATCGATTCCCGCGCTGGCAAACTTTTATTGTGGTGGAATTTAAACGGGGCGGAGGTAATTTAAACAGGGCGCAACGATTCAAACAGGGGGGAGTTTTCCCAAACGGGGCGCGCGCGCCCCGTTTGCGCAACGTAGGGAGAACCCTGAGTATTACAACAAACTAATTTCTGTCTCACTACTTATGGTCTGCATGCAAACGTGTACTGTGTGGGCAGTAGTATATCGTTCGCACGATAACTTGCCATCTCTAATCCAGCGTCAATTCATTCATGCATGCGCCAAGCTTCATAATTAGTGCGGGGGGGGGGGTCACGAATCTGATGTAAACAGATGCTCAAATATGTGGCAGTATAAAAATAATGTCTATAAACCCCCAGTATTCATTTTGGCATAATCCATAAGGATTGTCCATCTTACTAATGGAATTTCATGTTGACACAAAAATACTGGATAAATGACAGTGCTCAGCACAATGAGACTCCGATGATGAAAGCAATTGCTAGACCACTCAAGAACCGGCATCATATATATACCTTTGTATATCCGACTGATATCACTGACAACCTATTTCCTGTTTCGTTTTGGTTTGAAGCAGGACTCTTGGTTTCTGAATGGAGTCACTAACTTTATACTATGTGCGATTCCTGAATGGTAACTTCCAGAAATTTCCCATAATTTCATCCTATGATGCATGTGTCCCGCTCTCATAAACAGTTCTAGTTTTCCACAAAATCCCCCACTTAATTGATACAAAAACAATCTAAAATAAACCATATGCCTTGTAAGATCTCAAAGAAGAGACCATACAGTGACTGATTCTGACTCACCTCATGTGCTTGGTAAAGTTCTAATGCCCTTCTTACATCAAACTTTCTTGCCATGAGAAACTTGACAGCAACATTCCATGAAATAGGGCCAGCGCCCCATTGCTGTCTAAGGTGATTGGCACCTTCAATAAATTCTCGTGTGGCCTGAAACATTGGCGAGAAAATGTTGGTAACATACATAAACATTACATGAATTACACGTAACAAATGTTAAAAATTCAATTTAATAGTTCCTATTGATGACTATTTTAGAATAAAATTATACATGACTTTAAGGCACTTGAAAAGTATGAGCAAATAATGACTAAAAGAAATTACACCTGCGAAAGCCATATAGTCCGAAACAAATTTTTCAGACAATGCACCGTGACTGTGGTGAAAACATGGCTTTAATACAATTGTGTTTAGCTGCTTATATAGTATTGCTTCACCCAATATAGCTACGATTTAAAAGCAATTTGGAAGTAACAAATCAACTAAAATCACTTTACATTATAACGAATATATATAATAGCCAAAAGGTAACACTGGTTTCTCATTGATTAAAGGGATACATTACTCTAGGTTCTTCAGATATTTTCAGTTAAAGGGATCGTTTACTCTATGTTCTAGGGTTATTTTCAGGTAATTTAGGTTAAAATTAAGCTACATAAAAAGTTTCATGGTTCAATCACCATTAGAAATATTATTAAAAAATGTTTTAAAACCAACGACTACAGTTTTATTACAACGACGGTGGCGCCACTCAAAGCACACGATCTGATGAATTGCGCAAACCCACTTTTCAGACAAGGGCTACAGACCGAAGGTGTTTCTTATTTATTATTTTAAAAGCAAAAGGATTGTAATATCTTATAAACGACATATAGTTTCAGTTATAATATGGATAAATTTGCCCTAAAATGAATATCGTTCGGTTAAATAGCATTTAGGTATAAATATAATTGCACTTGTGATTAGCCCTCGGTCTGTAACGTGCAAAATGAATTAGCAAATGCTCAACTTTTTCAGGGTGGCAGTGTTGTGCCCAAACTTGGAATCTTGCCCAAACTTGGAATTTCAGCGCATCCGCAGTTTGGGCAACCAATCTTGAGATTGGGCAAACAGAGGTAAACAGAGCTTGCACACACATATGATTATTAGGATTTCAAATGTTATATCATAACTATAACCTTCTTTCCTCAATGTGTTTGGCACCTTTGTATAAATATTAAATGATTATAATAAATAATTGGATAAATGTGAGATAAATCTCTTCCTAGTTTGCACCACGCCCACCACACACTCGCTATGTCTATGAGCGGTTGTTGAATCACCGACTGTTTTCAGTTTGCCCAATCTTGAGATTGGTCAGCCAAACTAGGGAATCCGCAGTTTGGGCAGCACAATCGCTGCACAGTCTCGAGATTGTGTAGATTCCAAGTTTGGGTACAACAGCAGCACGATCGCTGGTGTCATGTCAGCGCCCAAAAATGAAGATTTCGAAATTCAATGTTGTTTTTAAATATTTATGACAAACGTGAATGCGTAATTATAGAAATTTTTAGGTATATGCTATCATTTATTAATCTACTATGATAATATACTCTCAAATTCTAGGGGAAAGTATCCCTTTAAGTCTCGACAGATATTACGGACGAACTTGTTGCTGCCATTTTAACGATTGTTACAACTTACATGCATCATACATTGAGAGAATTCAGCTGCCTTGGCGGAGGTCTGTGCTCTCTGAGTGCTCTAGTAACATATGCAGAGGGTGGGCACCGCTGATATGAGAGAGCGACAGCAAAACTCTTTCCTGGAATTGGAAATTGCTATATTGCGCTGGAGCTGATACACTAGCTCAGGCATTGCGGGTTTGCAGCAGCTTGTGTAACCAGTGGCAACGCATCGACTTCGAGGCGTGCGATTACGGGGGGATTTCGAACCGTTATCGTTTTAACTGTCGCCCCCGTAATCACATTTTCGGAAGCTGTTTTGGGAATTTCGGGGGCGATTTCCCCCGCTGCCCCTGCGTAATTTTTCCACTGCTCTACAACGGCAGTGCGAATCAAATCGCGAGCTATTGCAAGTCGTTTCGCAAGTCGACACAGGCCGATTGCAATGGGATTCGAATGCGTAGCAAATAAAACACACCACAACAATTACACGCAACGAATCCCATCTGAAGCTGATGACGTATTTATGGGGGCAATCTCACAAGATTCACCGCTTTCAGTAATACGGCCCAGCACTTCACGGAAAAGTTGGAAGAGCAACGATTATATTTGCTACATGCATCACACCTAGTTCTACAGAAGTAATTACCAAAGCAAATAACTAAATCCGAAAACTAATCTTCGTTTAGAATAAAAGTCGTAAAAGAAATCCATCCCGTTTGACATTCACACGTTGTTCACCCTGAATGTGGAATCCCGGGGCCCGTTGTCAGAAACATCGTAAAGTTAATGCTAATGTTAATGCTACGATAACACTTACGACTAATGTTAATGCTACGAGAGTAGCGTTGACAGAAACACATCGTAGCTACGAGCAAACTCACGATAACAAGAACTTCATAATTTCATGTCACAAGGCTTTTGATTGGATGAGAATCGATCACAAAATTCAAATTCGTACACATTTATTGTACATCACAGTAATTTATGCATATTATGATGGCTAACCACATATAAATAATAATTGATGAAAAACGACGTGGTTATGAATTTATTCTGCACAACAAGACAAATTCTCACACTGTTAACGCGAGATGCGAGAGTCGTGGCAAGCGTGCAAGCATTTAAAACAAGAGAACAAATGCCATACGCCATTTGTAAATGTATTGTTTTGGTTTACGAACGATAGATAATTAATGTTTTTGACGTGTTTTTCAAGAAAAACACACATTTTACTCATTATTATAAAATATAATATCCGTATAATTGTAATTCGTAGTGTAAATGTGTTATTTTCATCTTAATATTAACGAGCTTGGGAGGGTTTGGGCTTTCGTAATGTTAAGAGGATATTTTCGAGGATTTTTCATTCTCGTAACTTTGCGATGTTTCTGTCAACGGTTTACGAGTGGAAGTTAATGTTATGACTAATGTTAAGACTAATTTTGTTTCTGACAACGGGCCCCCCGAATTTGTCGAGCGGCGAAGGGAATGACGTGGTAACCATGGATACGTACTCGGTCGCGCAACTTCTGTCGCAGGAACATGCGGAGAATGTTGAAGGGCGCTCGGAACCACAGCGGTGCCGACACGATGAGCACCTTCTTCAGCTTGGCCGGGTAGCCGCCCTGAAAGTGCACAAACAGAACTGCAGGTTCTCCCGCAACCACTGTCCATTGTCGAACCAATGTCGGATTATTATCGAACCACTGTTCATTGCCATTTTAACGATTGTTACAACTTACATGCATCAGTCCATCACACGCCATCAACACGACTACTACTAGCTACTACTACTAGTAGTACTAGTCAAGCTCCGGATTACGGATTAGTACTAGTAGTACTAGTAGTAGTAGTACTAGTAGTACTAGTAGTAGTAGTACTACTAGTACTAGTAGTTAATAATAATACTAGTGAATGATAATATTAATAATACTCACCATAGCCCTAACCAAGCCTAACCGTTAAATCTAACATAATCATGACCAAATAATTTACACAATTTGGTCTTATACTTATAGTTAGGTTAGCCCTCTAAAACCTTTGTTTTATTGACAATGTCTGGATGGAAGCCAAATTGGCGGTATAAAACAGCGCCAGCTAATTCTCGGCGCAGCCACCTCTGGAAAAACATACAACATAATCAACTAAAAATATTAAGTCAATCAACACATAATACATGCATATTGCTGCTTAACGTAATTCTAAATGCCACGTGTACACGGTGGCAATTAACTAAAGATATTGTTTACCTGCTCCTCTTCTGGAGAAAGAACAGCGGCCATTGCTCCCTTCATTACACATGCGACAATCGTAAAGTGTTGCGACGAGGAAGTTACAGATACTCTTAAGTGACGAATTATTCATTTGGATAATAAACAAATAATATGATATTAGTCAAGTGAATTTAATAAAATATCAAAGGCAATTATTTACGCATGATGTCAATGTTTCCAAAAGAGGGCTCAGCTGGTTAACGTCGACGATTTACGACCATCAGTGTGACGTCATTTCACCATCTTTGTTGAGTTTCTTTGGTTTAGGCAGTAGAGATAGGGCTATCGGACGAAGAACTTCTTTTGCAGGCAACATTTCTAGTCTTTGTATTTCAGAATTTCCGCGGACCATTTTCGTATAAAGCACACAGATGGCCAGTAATCCATCTAGCAGTGCAGTGAGAGCCCTTGCTCTTGAATATAAAAACATTCAGGAAGAGCCAGTGGAAGGTTTCCGAGTAAAACTTCTGAATGATGATAACCTATTTGAGTGGGAAGTTGCCATCTTCGGTCCCCCCGACACTCTATACCAAGGAGGCTATTTTAAGGTAAGAACCGTCACATTATATTTTTGTTTACTGTCCAAGATTGATTACTCGGAAATGCGTGTGACGTCTTAATCAATCTACAGTGCAGTATATCTAATTGCTAAGTGAGCCCTGTCAAAACTTGCTGTTGGTTGTCTGATTATTGACAATGACATTGTTCTCTTTTAGTAATACTACTACTACTAGTACTAGTAATACTAATAAAAGTAAGGCGCAAATCCACTTTAGGCACCTTATGTATCACGAAGTGATGCACAGATTTCTGTGTATCATCAACTGATGCACAGATTTCTGTGTATCATCAACTGATGCACAGACTTTCCGTATATCAAAGAATGATGCAAAAACCCTAACCCTAACCCTAAGTCATAAAGACTACCTTACTCCTTAGGTATTACGAAGTGTGTTAGGGTTAGGGTTAGGGTTGGGCTTAGGGTTAGGGTTAGGGTTTTTGCATCATTCCTTGATATACGGAAATTCTGTGCATCAGTTGATGATACACAGAAATCTGTGCATCACTTCGTGATACCTAAGGTGCCTAAAGTGGATTTGCACCTAAAAGTAATACTAATACTAGCCTTTCCTCTAGTGTATAATTTTACTGACGTCATCCTAAACCTCAACAAAGAACTGGCTCGTGGAAATTAGAGGAAAACACGTTTGCTATTGTGTGACCCTTTCTCGTGTGGGTCGTGTTATTATTAAATATCTACACATCTCAATTATTTAGATCTTGACTACGTACATCACAAACACTGCTGCATACCTGTTAGATGGCGTTTGTTTTCATGTTGTTTGAAACTGCAACATGAAATATGAATGAGTACAGATAGTACAAACTTGACTAACGTGACTTTGCTGTCACCACATGGACAGTGATGTCCTGAAGAAAGGGTAAATGCCTGTTATTTCGGGTTTTAGTCTGATCCCACTCTAATTTGATCAACAACCAAGCGAATCCTGAAAGGAACACATCATTTGCTACTGGATGTTGAGAAGATTGCTGGTTGTGTGGTGGGTGACACTGGTTTGAAGACAAGTTTGCAGTTGCTGCATTCGTTAATGTTGTTAATACATGATCTGATGTAATATGAGCATAGAATGTTGTGTCTTGTAGGTATTCTTTCCGGTGACTTTAATTACAGAACATTTCTGACACACTGCTGGTGTTACGAGATAGTGTTAGAATGTTGGTGATACGTGTTGCTACTTGCCTTTGCGTTCAATCCTAGCCGTGCATGGGTTTTATATAAAACAGCAATGCTTTTGCTTTCATTAGATCGATATAGGACACAGCCACCTAGAACAGATGCAGAATAGATGCTTATTTGTGATTGTTTGCATTCTGTGATAGATCATAGCTCAGAGTCAGAGGCTCCATTCCTAGGTAGTCCGCATTACGACTTGCTTTTTTGATTTCAATATACGTCATTTATTTAAAGGGTCTGCACGTTATTGCTGCTCGTGCTGTGTTGACACGGATGACATTGCATGTCTTCGGATGAAATCGCATTCCTAAGGCCTGATTCAATCTAGTTAGATGGAATAGGTTCTCTTCGATATTTGTGCAAAGCAGATGGTTAAAATAGTCCATTACACAGTCGTCAACAAAGAGTCATTAGCAACTCATTAGAGAACAACAGGAACAATTGTAATGGGATGGGGAGGGGCAGTGTCTTGTGATGCATGTCTGGTGGCAGGTGCCTTATCCGTCGTTACTCCCTGCGCAATCACTCACTGGCTTCTCCTTTAAAGGTATGACTCTCCATTGGTTTTTGTGCCTCCCCCATATTGGCGTAGTTAATGCAGAAGGTGCTGGGGGGGAATCAGTTAAATTTCTTTCCTAAAGTCTAGTATGATGAGGTCTGTTTGAGTTAATTTGTCCGGTTATTCGGCCAGTTTATGCGACGGGTAAGCGGACACGTCTCTCCGTTTCGTCGTTGTCGAAATCCACGTTGGCATTCGAATAGAATGCCCTTTCTTTTTCTAGATGGTTCCTTGTGGCATGTGCGATAGTGTGCTCCTGTCATTTGCAGTACAGGCCAGCCAGAGACACCAAGCAGTAGTTGCTCACCTTATAGCAGTCTCTTCCATTTCTCGTAGGACGTCATCAGACTAGCTAGCGTGATGGGACGAGCATCACTGCATACATACTGTCAGCCAACAACAACTTTACAAATCTAACGGCTTCATCTGCAACGTTTATACTACGTACAGTCGAAACCACGTTATCGGTCATCTTTACAGAAGAAAGTGTCTATGCAGGGCACTTTCAGTGTTTCTCTTTGGAGATACTTACGCACAGGTTTGACTGTGGTCCATTTAAAATATAAGGAAGAAGATTACGGTACAAATCGTACTGGTTCGACCCTAGATCTCTATATTTGGCACGTGGGTCATGATCTAAAAATGCATCCTCAGTGAGTGAGTTGAGGTCAAAGGTCAATGTGCACTGTTTCAAAGGACACATGATGAACTTGCAGATCGTTGCAAATGCGTAGCTGAAAGGATTCAGTGAGAAGTATTTTCTGTAATAACCTTTCCTTTTCGAGAGTTGATATACCATGAAACCTTTGACCGTATATCATGGATGGGGTCATGAAATATATACTTTCCAATGCAGTGGTCGATGAAACTGAAATCCGATAGCCCACAGAGCTATATAATATAGTTTTTCTTTTGATATTTTACTTTGAAGTGTAATAACCCCAAAGGGGGCCATTGTCAACTTGTCAGTTTGAAACATTTTAGCCGTGATATCTTTTTTCATGAAATATCATAGTACTAATCAGTATCGTATGTATGTATGTATGTATGTATGTATGTATGTATGTATGTATGTATGTATGTATGTAATCAGTAGTTTATGACAATGGTTTCTTTATTTACTATGCACGTAATCTGGACAAAAATGAGTTTAGAAAAAATACTTAAATGCCCATGAAGTATTTGGTCAATCACTGATATTAGAGTTGGAAGAAATCAGGGTGGGGAAGAATCCAGTACAGGTTTATTAATATTAAATCTTTATTGCATGTAATTCAAATACAAATACGTGTACTGAAGTCTTTTTCATGGAGAAAAAATCTGATAAATGCAACAGTGTTGAGCTAGTACTATCTGTGAGGTATAACACAGATTACTGGGGAATCAAATACGTTTAACGGCGCGACGTAAAATTATTCTTTCGCGTACGGGCTGCTCCGATCATGTTGAAGATTTTATTAGCGACATAGAGGCTGGACACTGCCCGAATGTTTTACCTCCCCTTCTCTTGTGCCTCCTTGATTAATGGAGATGGGTTCAGCATCGTGTGTAGTCGGTCGTTCTAGCCACTAGCGATCCACAGCCCCCAAATGTGGGGAGAGAGAGTCTGGTGTCTTACACCTCGAGGAAACTCACTACCCTGACTGCCGCTTGAACTCTCGCAGTGGAAAGTGGACGCGTTAGCTACTAGCTTGCCCAGAGGCTCTCTCTCTCTCTCTCTCTCTCTCTCTCTCTCTCTCTCTCTCTCTCTCTCTCTCTCTCTCTCTCTCTCTCTCTCTCTCTCTCTCTCTCTCTCTCTCTCTCTCTCTCTCTCTCTCTCTCTCTCTCTCTCTCTCTCTCTCTCTCTCTCTCTCTCTCTCTCTCTCTCTCTCTCTCTCTCTCTCTCCAAGAAGGTAAAACGCAGGTGAAAAAATGGGCGGGTCGTGCGTGTACGGCTCGGGTTCTGTGTTTTACCAGTGTTGATAATAAGTGACGTTTGTTCGTCCGTCGTAGCTCACCGATGACGAAGGCCATTTCTTTGTCTGTCGGTTCCGTACCAATCGCCTTACTGCGCGAGCTTGCTGTAGAAGTAGAACGTACAGTCTACATGTACAGCATTGCGAATACGGAGATGGGCGCCGTGGTGCTCGCGTAAGCCTTTGTTCTGCAGGGAATGGGGTTTGGGTGTCAGTCAAGACCCGTGCCAGCTGTTGGGGGTTTCTGAGGGAGCATTGATATTGCATCACGTATCGATCTCTAGCGTGACTTGGTGCCGTTCCCCTCCGGTGGCTTGCTCTGGGGGTGTGATACCAGCTGGGGTGATTGTGCACGCGGTAATCGTGCGTGCGTGCGTGCGTGCGTGCGTGCGTGCGTGCGTGCGTGCGCGCACGCACTGTACCGCGTGACACGCCCCTGCCGTGCACGTGTGTTTACGCAGTGTGTTGATGTGTGCTTGGATCGTTTATTTAGCTTTGTTTTAAAAAATCGTGCCAGTCGCACGCGAGTGCATCCACGAGGACACACGTTTTAAAATAAACATCCCATGACTAATACAAAGATTTACAGTGTGTGTACGATCGACGCGCGTTACGTAGGCATATTATATCCTGACCCTAGTGCCAGCTAACCGATCCATCGTATACACGCACAATCCCTTTCACCGCACGTTACGGCGCTGTACCAAACAAGAAACAAAATCAGGGCAAATCGAAGGTTTCCGGCGTATGGTAATTTTAGTGCTGGAAAAAATACGTGCAAGATCATATGAGCCTCCAAAAAACCGTGGCCTGTTTCCAGCTCGTCGATATTGACAGTAGTATTATAGACTGACTGTAAGGTCGCGACGGATGGTGTTAGGCACTGTTAGCCACAGGGACGTTTAGAATTAGACCATCTAAACTTATGAAGAGCGGAACGGCTGCTTATGAAGAGCTGGGTGCGTTTAGAGAGAGGTTCACGTATAGAACGTGTTCTCCGAGTTGTACATACATCGTATCATATCGTATCGTGTGCGTACCAGTGTTGTAGTCGAGTCCGCACCCCCCGAGTCCGAGTCCGAGTCCGAGTCCGCACCCCCCGAGTCCGAGACCGAGTCCGAGTCCGAGTCCGAGTCCGAGTCCGCGCCACCCGAGTCCGAGTCCACACCACCCGAGTCCGAGTCCGAGACTGAGTCCGAGTCCCCCGAGTCCGAGTCCGAGTCCGAGTCCGAGCCGAGTCCGAGTCCGCGCCACCCGAGTCCGAGTCCACACCACCCGAGTCCGAGTCCGAGTCCAGTTTTGATAAAAAAA